TGAGTCTCAGCACCACATATAAAAGTAAGTAGAATAAAGATCTATCAACAACTAAAAAAAAAAAAAAAAATTTTTTTTTTTTTTTTTTAATGTAAGAAAATGTGCAAACACAGAGATAACTGTGTGGTCACCCAGCTTCAACATTTTCAGAAACTGGCCATCTTTGTCCGTCTCCCCTTTTCCTCAGTACTTCTTTGAAGGACTTTGAAGCAAATCCCAAAATCTGTCATTCCACTTACCAGTGACGAGCACTTGTAGCTGTTAAGGGTTGCATTGTAATGTCCAGCAAAAGAGCAGAAGTTCCTTCCTGTCATCTGATACCTGGATGTCTTCCCAATTTTCTCTTCAAAAAAATCAGGCTGGTCTTGAACTTCTGGGCTCAATTGATCCTCCAGCCTCAGCCTTCTAAATACTGAGACTAAGGTGTGCACCACCTCACCCAGTTTGTACATTTGGATTTTGAATTGAGATCCAAGATCCCAGCATTTTTCTTCTTCTTTCTTTCTCTTTTTTCCTCCCTCCCTCCCTCCTCTTCCCCCTCCCCCTCCCCCTCCCCTTCCTCCTCTGTTGTCGTTGTTGTTTTGTTGTTTTGGTAGCAGGGTGCTTTACCATTGAGCTACATCAATCACTAAGGTGCTTGGTCTAGCCTCAAAACTTGAGATTCTCCTGCCTCAGCCTCCTGAGCCACTAGGATTCCAGATGTATGCCTCCATGCCCAGCAGACCCCAGTATCTTAAGAAGTGATTTTTGTTTGTTTATTTTGGGGGGATATTCCTCAGCCCTTTTGAATTTTCATATTGAGATAGGTCTTGCTAAATTGCCCAGACTGGCCTCAAGCTTGCAATCCTCCTGCCTCAGCCTCCAAGGTAGCTGGGATTACAGGTGTGCACCATCACATCCAGTTTAAAAAGTGGTTTTCAATGGAAAATTGAAATACATACAAAAGTATCTGCATAAGAAATTCCATCAGCAGACTAAGCTATTACTTGCTTATGGCTGGCCTTGTTTCTATGTGCCCCCCTCTATTTCCCTTCTTGGTTGTTTCAAAGCAAATTTCAGAGATACCATTTTGTTCTTCAGAGATTTCATTGTTGTCTTTAAATGATAAAGCCCCATTAAACATGTAGTGCTGTTGTCACACCTACAAAGTTGCACAGTTCATGTGACTCCTTCCACAAGTCTGCTTTCTGCTTGGTCAGGGTATCCCTTAACTGCCTGAATCCACAGATCTTCCCTCTTTCCCTGGTCGCAGGAGTGTGATGTTAGGGATCACTGCTGTTGAAGTCTGTGCTTCCAGCCAAGACCAGCAGTGCGCGCTCTCACCTGACTGCTGCTCAGATGTCGTCGTAGGCATCACGTACATATATATATATATATATCTTCATTTCAGCTCTGTGACATAGATAACACTGTTCCCATTCTGCGGTAGCCAGACCAGAGAAGAGTGCTTTGGTGTGAGGGTCATAATCTTCACGTTTGCAAAACCAGAATCTTGAGCGCATTTCTATGCGTGTGGCCCCTGTAGCAGCTGTTGCAGCCTGGTGCCCCTGGGGGGCATGTCAGTGGTGGTGGGCATTCATTCTCCGCTTCATTCAGGGGCCTTGATCCGAAGCATATGCCACTGCCCTGAGTTTGTCAGGAGGTGGTAGAGGCACCACCTGTCAAGCATGGTGCCACACGTGTGGAATGTTCTTCTGGGAGAACCCTGCCAACACGCGGCTTACAGAGATGTTGCATGCCATCTCAAGTAGGGGCAGATCCCTTTAGTACACATTTTCTGGTTTTTGTATTTTGTGGTGCTGGAGATCAAAGTCAGGGCCTTATGCATGCTAGGCACTAATAAACTGCACTCCCAGTCCACTGCTTTTAAATCATTTAAATTTCTATGAGTAGTATTTCTAAAACAAAAGTCCTAAATAAAATCTACTGGCAGATGTGGGTCATGAGCAGACATGAGACCTCAGCAGGACCTGTCTTAGGGGATTAAGGTGGAAAGTGCGGCCTCAGCAGGACCAGAGCTTACCCAGGTGTGTTGGAGGAGAGCAGCCCCAGGCAGGCAGAATTGATGGTGGGGCTTCCCAGAAGAGCTGGGGGACAAGGCGCAGCCTGGAGAAAAGCAGTAGTGAGTAAATGTAAGTAGGACTTTTTAACAGACATTTCATTCTTAAACTTTGAAAGTAGTATGAGCAGCTTTACCAACGCTGGGAGACTCGATAGAAAAACATGGCCAACGATTCTCATGAAAGTGTAGTTAGCCTCTAAGTATATGTTCTTCTAAAACAACTAGAAGTATTGCATTCAAATCTATGTTATTTTTAAATTTAATATATAATTAACAATCCCCCAAATTTTTGCATTGTTATTTCATTATTATCAGTGATACAGCACACTTTATCTAGCAATTATAAAAAGTTAACAATAGCCCTCCCCGCTTTTTTAAACCAAAACATGTAGAGAAAATAATGTAAATGCTTCTTGACTCCATAGAGAAGCTGTTAATTTGGGGAGCTGGTGGCAAGCAGACCACTTATGAACCCCCAGGGAAGAGCAGAAACTGCCCCGCTCTTCCTGTGCCTTCTTGCAAAAACAGCCACTGCTGGTCTTTTTTCCTATGTGTAGAAAAAAAAGATGGTCTAGTCTTGGCACTGCTGCCTGTCCTCTTCACATGGAAGGGCATCCTGCCTTATGGGCTGGTCTGCTTGTTCCCCTGCTGTCTCTTCACAGTGACCGTGAACTTGAGCAGGTGGGGAAAGCCTTCTGTGTGATAAGCAGAAGGTGGCCTGCTCACGGTGTGTGCCATCCATTGCCCTGCAGCTCAGCTGGGGCCATGTGCCTGTGACCTGCAGGTGGGCCAGAGCAGTTCAGCTGTAAAACCCCCTTCTAGATTTTGTTGTGGAAAATAGTGTTTAAATTTTTCATCTTTACAAAGACTAGTGAGAAAGAAATTTATTGACAGGCATTTAAATTTTTTTAAATATTTTTTTTTTTGTAGTTGTACATAATAACTTCATTTTATTTATTTATTTATTTATTTTTATGTGGTGCTGAGGATCGAATCCTGGGCCTTGCACATGCAAGGTGAGCGCTCTTACCGCTGAGCCATAACCCCAGCCCCAGGCATTTAAATTTTTAAAATTTACATTTTCTAGTTTTTCTCTAGTTGCTGAGGCTGGGCTGAACTTGGAATCCTGCCACAGCATCCTGAGTTGCGAGGATCACAGGTGCACGACACTGCACCTGACTAAATTGCCTGTTGACTAGAACTGTGCCTCCTGATGACCTTGACTGCCCCTTTTCCTCACACTGCCTCCAGATGGTGGGATGGAGGAGCCTCTTTACAACTGAGGACCATTCTGTTGGGGTGCTGGACTGGGAAAAACTGGCACTGTAACCTGCTATAAAATGCAAGCAGGGCAGTCGTGTGAACCAGCTTTCAGTTCTAAACATGGTTTCGTACTCTGTTGATCCTTCTTGCTCTCACATGGTGATGTTCATAAATTGCAGTCCTTAGGCTTGTGTGCTAAAGAGTTAGAGCCAGGCGTGGTGGTTCACACCTATTGTCCCTCTACAAAAGAAGCTGAGACCAGAGGATTGTCTGAGCCCAGCAGTTCAAGACCAGCCTGGGCAAAAAAGCGAGTCCTCCGTGGTTCAAGAAAAAAAAGAGGGACTCCCAGTCTTTCCCTACCAGAGTGGCCTGCCCAGTGAGCTTGCCTTGTCCTGTGCCAACTACACTTTGTTCACGCAGGCAGCCTGGGCGTGGGCCCTCTTCCTATGGAGCTTTCCTCGTGGCTCCTGTCCCTCATGAGGAATGCCTGGAGAAGCAGCCCCCAGGGTCAGCAGTCTTTCTGAAACTTGCTGTACACTGAGCTTTCCTAGACAGTAGCAACCGCAGGTCCTGGTCTGCATGTCGGGGACTCTGCCTCAGGTCACAGCCAAGCGTGCAGGCCTTTCTTGGTAGTTCTGCAGACTCGCTCTCACCACTTGTGAGTTTGAGAGTACCCTGGTTCCCTGAGAGACTGGTGTTTAACTGACACTTTTTTGCAGTTTCCAGTGCTGATGGCCACACTCACCCCTCTGTCCCTGCTAAGCAGCCCCCAAGGGCACTTTGTTGTTTGAAGAGAGACTGGTGTCATCAGTGAGCACACATTAGGACTCTGCAATGAGGAGCAAGCGACGATGATTTTTGGATGCTTTTGTGCAGAGGAAGGTGATGAGGAACATTAAAAAACTAGGCTTTGTGGGTCATTCAGATAAAGCCCCCCAGATGTGTTTAAATCTCGGGGACATTAGATATTTGATGTATAGTGTAGTAACCCTATTACTTTTACATGGAATTGTGATGGTAAAGTTGTGAGCCTGTGTGACTTGCATGAGAAACTGAGATCCGTGTGGGAACCGTGTTTGCATGTAAGAGCTGACTTCCGAAGTGAATAAGGTGCTGGTGGTTCCAGCTGAATAAGGCTCTGGTCTTATTTATGACTGACTCAGCAGCCAAGATCCTAATCAGAAATGCCATCTCCTGTGACATCCTCCTGGGAAAAGGCTTTTCAAGAGGACGGTTTTGGTAGACTCTTGATAAGGGAACTGGGCAGGCATACGGGCTCCCACTAGCCTGATTCCACTGGGCCCAGAAGGCCCATTTTGGTGGGAATGAAGGACTGCTGGATACTACCTCTGTCCTTTCAGGATTGCTGTGGTTACTGCCGTGGCTTCAGGGTTCTAGTTTGCCAAATACCTGTGGTTGTTTCCTAAGGTAACTGCCCCTGGGATTTGGTGTGGTGTCTACTCTAAATGTTAGTCTTGTGTCCTTGGTTTATAGGGGAGACTCAGAAAACGACAGTGTTAAGCATTTGCATTTTCCTGAAGAATGCTAAAACAAGTTTTTGTTTTTTTTTTTTCAATCCACTATCGAAGTCCTGTGAGACATGGTCACATTATGCAAAGCCAGTGTGTAATTGTCATCTTCACTTACCAATTTTTTTGTGCTGTTTCTGTCTCAGATCACGGATTCTTTGAGGTGGCACTGAAAGCACTAAGACCTGAAGATGAGTGAACTTGACCAGTTGCGGCAGGAGGCGGAACAACTGAAAAACCAAATCAGAGTATGTACCTGCATGTGTCCAGACTCGCTAGTCATGTGGTTCAGACCAGACGGTACCATCACAGGAAGGGGGTTATAGAGCCAGGCTTTTGGTCTTTCGGACAGAAATTGAATCTTTTTCTTTTCTTTTTTTTTTTTTTTTGGTACCAGGGATTAAATTCAATGGCACTTGTCCACTGAGCCACATCCCAGCCCTATTTTGTATTTTATTTAGAGACGGGGTCTCATTGAGTTGCTTAGCACCTCACCATTGCTGAGGCTGGCTTTGAACTCGTGATCCTCCTGCCTCGGTCTCCCGAGCTGCTGGGATTACAGGCATTTGCTACCTCATCCAGTTGAAATTGAATCTTAATTTGGCTCAGCATGTGCTAGTCTTAGATCCAGTACTTTGTTTTCATGCACATTATAATTATTGGTTATTTGAATACATATGAAATGTTTCTGTAGAATTCAGAAAGGTCTGTTTTACCACCACCACCACTCCTTGTCTTCTTTTCTTTTTTTCTTTGGTACTGGGATTGAACCCACGATGTTCTACCACTGAGAGGCATCCTCAGCCCTTTTATTTAATTTTGTTGCCCAGGCTTCCTTGAAATTGTGACTTTCCTGCCTTAGCCTCCCATATAGCTGGGATTGCAGGCATGTACCACCATGCCTGGCTCTTCTGTGCTTTTTGTCTTCACCTTGGGAAATAGTTTTGTGACTTGGTCACTGTATCACAGGGTGAATTCTGCCCCGTCCCCTGAAGATAATGGCTACCAACTTTAGGGTAGACAAGGTGCTTACAGACAAGAGCTTTAACAACAACAAAGCAAAAGTATTTTAGCTATGCCTGTTTTTCTTTCTTTCTTTTGTTTTTTTCTTAATTTCAAAGAGGAATATTCCCTAGGGATGGCTGTGGGAACCTACGACTTTTGAGAGACTGAAAGCTAGATGTATCTGATTGAGGTTAAAACCGGACAATGAATAACTTCAACGGAATTCTAACATTGAATTCTCGGGACTGCAGTTGTGGCTCAGTGGTGGAGCGCTCACCAGCACCACGTAAAAATAAACGAATAAAGGTTAACAAAAGGCCACAAACATTTAACTCTCTCTTGCTTTCCTCCTTTCTTGTTTTGATGGTGCTGGGTTGACACTTGGGTCCTCTTGTCTAAAAGGCAAATTCTACCACTAAGCCATACCCCCACCCGACACCTATTGCTAAATTGCAGAATCCACAGGCTTTTTATAAGGGAGAGGTTGATCTAAAAGGAGTTAGTTCTGCTTGGTCCCCTCTGTGAACATTTTTTAGAGACACATTAATGCAACAGTGTGTGTGTCCTCCCACTTGCCATGATGAATGAGGGAAGAGGAGACAGGCTCATCAGCAGAAACCCAGCATCGGCGGGGCTTTTGTCTGTTGGGAACTTCCTCTGACTGGCTTAGTCTCCTCTGTGAGGCTCTGGCTGTCCTTCAGAGCACCCCTTTACAAGAAGTCACAGTGTTGAGCACGTTTCTGAACAGCAGCTCAGTTCTGAGTGCAGTGCCAGGACAAAGCCGCAGGCTTCCTTCTACATGCCAGTCATGCCCAGCAGCCTTGCGGGAGAAAGAAGCACCAACCTCATGTTTGCCACCTTTGTCTCAGACTTGAGAAAAAAACAATGGAATTACTGAAATTTACAGCTGGAAAAAAATAGAAAATATCCTCTAGTTTAGGAATTTTACTGCTGGATGTTTAAAATGGCCTGCTACAGTTCAATGCATGAGAGAAGGATCTAGATTTTTATTAGCTTTATTAGGTCAGGCTTCCTCAATGTGTGTCTTTACCCAGGACTAACTAATGAAATACATTTTAAAATATTTGCTTTGATATAAAGTTATTCCCTGACATACTTGTTTGAATAAAACCAAAAGATATTTCTCTATTTTATTTTTTGGTGATGCTGGGAATCTTACTAGGGCCTCATACCCATCAGGCAAGCAAGAACTTTATAACTGAGGTATACTTGTGTTTTTTTGGGGTTTGGGGGGGTTGTTTGTTTTGAGACAGGGTTTCTCTCTGTTACCCAGACTGATCTCAAACTTATGGGCTTAAGTGATTCTTCTGCCTCAGTCTCCCGAGAGTAGCTGGGATCACAGGTGAGAACTTCCATCCCTGTCTTGCCTAAAAATTTGTCTGACTTAAAAGCTTAAGCTTCTAGCTGGGAGTGGTGGTATGTGCCTACAATCCCAGCTACTCAGGAAATTGAGGCAGGAGGATCCCAGATTGATGGCCAGCACCAGCAACTTCATGAGGCCCTGACTCAAAATTTAAAGAAAAAATTAAAAGGGCTTGGGGTCTAGTTCAGTGGTAAAGCCCCTGGGGTTTCAATCTGCAGTACAAAAAACAAACTCTTAAGCTTCTACATAATTCATTTTGAAGTAAGCACTGGTTTTGGTAAATTTAAAAGCAAAACTGTGATGTTGTTGCTTAATATTAATGTTAGTGTAATTGAGTCATTTTCCCTGAATTCAAAGCACTCTAATTGGTTTACTGCTTTTGAGATCATATTTCTTCTTTACCCAAAACCCGATGGCTAAGAATGTAACCAGAGTGTGGTACAGGCTGAGGGGTTGTGAAGCCCTGCCTGTGTGCCTGATGGAGTGGACATGTGCCCATGTGTGACTGTCCTGCTAAGACATGTTGCCTTCCATGGCTCTGTGATCTTTTTGTGATCCTGGGGATCCAAGCCAGGTCCTCACATGTGCTTGGCACATACTCCACTGAGCTGCAGACCCAGTACTTTCTAAAAAATTGCCCAGGCTGGCCTTGAATTTGTGATCCTCCTACCTCTATCTCCTGAGTCCCTGGGACATTTTGTTTTTCTAATAAGTGAAAATTTTTCATAAATTGTTGCTCATAAATGTGGACTCGGCTCTGTTCACAAGAGACCGTGTGGTAGAGGGAGACTGACGGGAGACACTCTCCTGTGTTTTCACCCTCACATGTGGAACGCACAGGGTCCTCCTGGGCCCACGTGGTGGCACATGGCCTTTGATAAATGCTCTTGTTGCCATATTAAAAATGTGGAGGCAAGCAGCCCTTGCAAGTCTCCTTTCAGTGTTTTAGTATGTGCTTGGTGCTCTTTTATTGAGATGTTTGTCTTCAGAGTTCAATTCATAGCCCACCCTTAAGGGAATGCCTCCATTCGCCCCAGTGCATTTCACCTGCACACGGTCAAGGCCCAGGAGCCCATCATGGGCAGCGCGGCTCCATACCATTCCTGTACCCTTGCTATCCTGATGAGGATCTACTCCATAGACACCTGCCTGGGGTTTGGGCTTTGTCTCTGAAGTGAGGACTCGGTGCTGTGCTGCCTCCTTTGCACAGGACCAGGGGGTGAGTTGAAGGCCGTTGAGTCCATTACCCCAAATGGGAAGAGAAAACTTCTTTCAAAAAGTATGTTTTTGTGAGTATTCGAGGATGGCATGCTGATTAAAGCTGCAGAGCGAACAGGAAACAGCAGGTGATTCCAAGAAGGGTCTTTTTTTCTTTCTTAGATTTGATTTTCAGCTTAAAAGACCCCAAAGGACGTTTCATTATTCTTTTGATTGTATTATTGAGGAAACATGGGTTCTTGGAGATGCTGATTGAAACAAGGCATAGCTTAAATACTCAGAGGGCACAACTCACTCAGGAACAGACCAGCTGCCCTGAACACATGGTGCAGAAACTGGAATTGGCCAGAGCCCAGGCCTTAGCTCCATGTGTGAGATAGCAGGACACCCGCATAACAAGAGAGTGAAGCCTCTCCTGTGGCATTGCATAGGGTCTACCATTTGTCTGGACAGAATAGGAGAAGGGTTGTTTGTTTGATCATTCCCTCTGATGGAGTGGACAATGTGCTCTGCTGTGCGTGTCCATTGCACTAGAAGTTAACTGAGGGATGTTGCACTGTCCTCCTCGAGCAGGTGCGGGGCTGGCTTGCACCAGGAGGCTTTTCTACAGCTTGCAGGTGAAGTAGTGTGTTCTGAGAGGCACTGAGCTCCCTGACAGCCATGCTGGCCGAAGTGGAGAGGCCTGGGCTCGCCTGTGCTTTCCCTGCTCTTCAGCAGTGGTCTCACCACAGCCCCCTCTAGGCGTGTCTAGATGCCCACATGGATGTTAGAAATCAACCAGGGTTAAGCTGCTTAGGTGCCGTATTTTATTTCTTCTGTTTAAAAAATTCCTGTTGTATGGCTGGGGATATAGCTCAGTTGGTAGAGTGCTTGCCTCGCCTGCACAAGGCCCTGGGTTCAATCTCCAGCACCACACGCACACAAAAAAATTCCTGTTGTGCCTTTTTTGAAGCAAAAGCCATATATAATATTAACACACATGTATTTGGAAATAAATATTAAGCTTCATACTTGGCAGAAAAAATTAATTGATGAGAAGACTTGCTACTCTGAATCTTTCTCATCTACTTTACTCCAGAACTTGTTTTCAGTTGACCCCCGCGGCTGCTCACTTTGCTGCTGAACTGCATTCCCAGCCCAGCTCTCCTCATTTTATTACTGATGTAAAAATGCTTTTTTGGTGTGTTTTAATAACAAGCAGAATTACTAATAACTTCCATTAAAGAAGAATTTGGAATCTAGGTTTGGTATGCAGTAATAGTAATCTCAGCATATTTCCATGCTATCAGTTCCCAAGTATTGCCGTCAACTTCATAAAAAATGGTCATCTCCAGTGAGGTGGTTTGTCCTGAAATACTGCTCTGGCAGTGCCCCAGCTGGCATGGTGGTAACAGGTGGTCAGATGACAAAGCGTTTTCTTACTAGGAATTGTGGTGGGTTCCTTCAGGTCATGCTCCACTCAGATGCTGAACCTCATAAAGCTGTCGCCTCGTTTTCCTTCATGATACAGAGCTTTCTACTTACAACAACACATGCTGATTTGAGATTTCAGGACTCATTTTCTAGTAACTTTTGATCACTTCTTAGTGGTGTAAACAATTTAACATTCATGGTGTATCTCTTCACAGTTCTTACCTGCTTCCATAGATTTACAGAGATGAAAGCAGATTGATAGATATCCAGGTATGGTGACACACACCTGTCATCCCAGCCATTGGTGAGGCTGAGGCAGGAGGATTGCAAGTTTGAGGCCAGCCTGGGCAACTTAGCAAGGCCTTATCCCAAAATAAAAAGGGCTGGGAATGTGGCTCAGTGGCAAAGCACCCCTGGGTTTAAAAAAATGAAGAGCCGGGCACAGTGGCACATGCCTGTAATCCCAGCAGCTTGGGCGGCTGAGGCAGGAAGGTCACAAGTTCAAAGCCAGCCTATGCAAAAGTGAGGTTCTAAGCAACTCAGTGAGACCTGTCTCTAAATAAAAAACAAAATAGGGCTGGAGAACTGGAGATGTGGCTCAGTGGTTGAGTCCCCCTGAGTTCAATCCCCGGCACCAAAAGAAGAAAAAGAAGGGAATACAGATTGATAACAGGATAGCTTTGACCAGAGTTAACTTTAATCAGAGTTTGAGTGTCTGATTCCTGATTCCTTGCTGTTTACATAGAATTTAGATTTAATGATTATATGGCTTGAAAGCAAAGTCCTTAGTTAATACAATCTAGAAGAACATTTGTTTGGCCTGGGTAGTGGGTCTTTTGGGGGGCCCCCACCCCCACCCCTTTTACCCTCAGGTGTCTCTGGACAAAAGCACGTGTCTGGTGGCCCTGGAAAGGCAGTGTTGGTTCCCGTGCTTTTCTTTGCTGTCCCAGCTTCCAGTGTGCTCTTTCCAGGGCTGCCTAAAGTTCTGAGACCTGTGGGTACTGCAGGCTTGGGTGGGTTTGGGTATCATGACTGTCTATACAGGGTGGCCTGGGCAGTCCACAAGCACAGTGCACTGGGGGAGAGGGGAGGCAGGGGAGATTGCCCCACCCTGTTCTGCTGGTGCTGTTTGCAGTTGGTGGAGGCTCTCTGAAACTTGCATGTGGGGGGAGTCCTGGGACTGAATGTAAGAGATGTGACTAACTTACTTTGTCCTTGTCTTTCAGGATGCTCGAAAAGCATGTGCAGATGCAACTCTCTCCCAGGTAAGAAACAATTGCACAGCGCAGTGTCCCTCCCAGGGCAGAGGCTGGTGGGGCCTGGCACCTGCCCACAGAACTGGAGTGACCTTGCTCCTGGGGCTCCTGTGCAGTAAGGTGGAAGGCCACTGCAGGGTGCTTCATTCAGAAGTCCTTCTGAATCTAGGCATGAGGAGCCATGGCTTTTTTCTAAATGAAAGCAGTGTCTCTCCAGCATTAAAGAATCACTTCCTGGTACAAAAGTGATAGTTATAAAATACTGTTGTCTTAAGGTGGGTTTGACCATTCTCTAATCAACGGAACCTGCCTTAGAACTTCACTGTGTAATGTCCACTTTGGCAGTTCCTCAAAAAGTTAAATGTTGAAGTTAGCTAATCCCCAAAAACCAAGTGCTGAATGTTTTCTCTGATATAAGGATGATGATTCACAATGGGGTTGGGGACAGGGAGCATGAGAGGATTAGACAATCTCTAGTTAGAGCAAAGGAGAGGGAGGGGAAAGGAGAGGGCATGCGGGTAGGAAAGACAGTGGAATGAGATGGACATCATTACCCTAAGTACATGTATGGAGACATAAATGTTGTTGACTCTTAGTTTGTATACAAACCAGAGATATGAAAAATTGTGCTCTATATGTATAATATGAATTGTAATACATTCTGCTGTCATATTTAACAAATTAGATTGAAAAATAACTAAAACAAAGGTTAAATGTAAGATTACCATATGACCCAGCAGTTGCTGCTAGATATGTGCCCAAGAGAATTGAAAACTGGTTTTCAAACAAGCAGTGTTAAGGAGCCCCTTCATCCCTGGGGTGTGCTCTGAGACCCCCATGGAGCCTGCAGCCGTGGTACCAAGCCCCACATGCACCGGCCTGATCCTATACATCTTTACCTGCGATGAGATTGGCTCATACGCCATGCTTAGGAATAGGCCATAGCAGGAACTAATGAGAGGAACAGCTGTAGGGCCCCAGTGTATGTGTGGGGGGGTGTGTTGCTGCCCACGGCCTACACTATGTGCCTGGCCGAGGGGCCACATGGGCCCACCATCAACGCAAGTGTGTTGAGGTTAAGCTGGAAACCTGGCAGCTGCCCAGTGACTGATGAGCAGATGGTGTGTTTCACGGCATGGGCACGCTGGACAAGGGCAGTTGCTCCTATCTGGAGTTTCCGACTGTTTGACCTTAGGGAACGAGTCGTAAAGAGCAAAGCCACCAATAGCATGGGGCTGGCGGCCTGCTCACGGCAGCCAGTGGACTGGGTGACTGCGTGCACAAGGACTGTAGTGCCTCTGCAACACAGCATCACTTGGTAGGCCTCGTAGGCACTGTGACCAGGACAAAAGCCAGACCCATGGCTGTGGACTCTGACCCTTGTCAGTGTGAAAGGTCTAGAGGAGGGAAGTGAGTGTGCAGGGGCTAGGAGGGACCTGGGGAGCAGGGCTCCCAGGGCAGGCCTCCTGTCCTCCGGTGGTGGTGGCCGCATCGCATCGGGCAGGCACTGAGTGCTGCAGGGTAGCAGCCAGAATGTGGATACTTCATATTCTGTGGACCTCACCTGTGAGGGGAAAGGGAGAAGCCAGCACCTCTGCTGTGCACAGGAGAGGGAAAGGAAGGCCAAGGGTGTGTGCACCTGCAGTGGAAGGTGCAGAATGCTGTCCAACAGCCGTGGAAGAGCTAGGTCTTGGCACGCGGGAGAGAGAGCCTGAAGCTGGAGGGTTGCTCCTCACCCATGCTCATCTGCACTGACTTTCTTATTTTTAAGATCACAAACAACATCGACCCTGTGGGAAGAATCCAGATGCGCACCAGGAGAACACTGAGGGGGCACCTGGCCAAGATCTACGCAATGCACTGGGGCACTGATTCCAGGTACGGGCCTGACCAGTGCGAGGGTGGCATGTTCTGCTCTTTTAGGGCAAAACACTAACTCAGAAGTTGAGTCAGACACTGAGCAGGCGGGGTCCAACGCTCACAGGCACTCGTTCCCTGGACAGGCTCCATTGGCCAGGGTTGCACTCATGGTCTCAGGAGAGTCACCACTTCAGCTCTGCCTCCCTTCTCCACTCACCTGTCCTTTGGTTTCTGCACCTTTGTTCCAGCTCTGCTGTTTGCTGCTCATGGGACCTCAAGGAAGCTGTCTCCCTCTCTGTGCCCTGGGTCCTCTGGTCCCAGCATGTTCCTAGGGGTTCCAGACCTGTTCTGGGCACTGGAACGTGGAATGTGCATGGCTTAGTTGGTCTCTCCAGCCCTCACTTGGCAGGCATGTGGGGCTGTGCACCTTAGCAGCTGACCCCAACTTCCCACCTGATTTGTGTGTCCCCTTCTACTTGCGTGCCACCCCAAGGAGGTGAAGCCCCTCATGGCTCCTGTTTCTTCTGAGTTGAGTTCTACCCCTTGCTCAGACTTATATCTTCCTCTGGGTATCTCCCCTCCACCACCCTCCCTCCCTTGTCCTTCCCTTTCCTCACCCTATTCACACCCCGCTCATCCGGTCTGTCTGAACTGGCCAGCTGTGCCAAAGCGGAGTCTGTTAGTTAAACTCTTCTCCTTTTCCTCTTTTCTTTCAGAGGTAACTAGAAAACCTGGCTTTTCTGCTTTTCCACCCAAATAATAAAATACATTGCTACTTGGTTTGTGTGACCATAACATGCTCTTTCAGACCCTACATACAAGTGTTAACATGCCTTTCCTTGTAGTTTGTGCGTGTGTGTGTGCGTGCAGTTGTCAAAGTGGAATTTTCTGCTTGGCTTTCTTTTTTTTGAATTGTCTGCTTTAGAGTGTAAATAGGGAGAGAACAAAGGATTCTATCTTTAGTTTGTTCTGTACAGGGTCCCGCAATTGCATGTGCAGATAGGCCCTCGTGATCATTTAATGATGGCATCAAAGAGAGAATAAAAAGGAACGGAGGGTCGTGAGGAGCTGCTGCCAAGAGGGTTAGGGTTTCAGCTAGATGGGAAGGGTGCACTTCAGAGACGAGCACACAGCACCATGACCATAGTTAGTGATGATGATATTAGGAGTTCTTTCATTCTTATATTTTTTCAGAATTGGGGACAGAGCCCTGGGCTTTGAACTTGGCAGGCAAATGCTCTACCACCGAACTACGTTCCTAGCCCAAGAGTAATTTTGTTTAGTTTTTTAAAAGTTGTAAACAGGAAGAAGAAAGAATATCCTTACTGATAATCCCACCTTAGATTTGTTATCAGAAGTACATGGTGACGCAGGATATGGCTTTCTTGTGTGTCCGCTGTTGGGTTGGACAGCGCTGTATCCATGCTGTCTGCAGAGCTCATATCAGCCGTGTGCTCTCCTTCCCCAGCCTGGCTGTGGGCTCCGTGCCTGAAGGGTACATGTGAGCTGCGGCCAGGTGCACTCGGGCAATTGGCCTGAGCAGTGGCGTGAGAGCAGGGCTGGGCAAGATGGGTGGACTGCACCAGGTCACTTGCTGTGTGGGACTCATGTTCCGTGTGGTCTCAAACTGGAGTCTGACCTTGAAAGCCCGGATTCGGGAGGAAGAAGAGCACACATTAGCTGGACTGAGTTCAGGATGGTGGCACTCTGGTGGCACTCCTGTGCACAAGAGGCCACTGGGTGTCTGCTGGTGTGCCCTTGTTCCTGGGTAGATGGTAGGTGTGTGGCTTTGTTCTTTATCGTTCTTCAAGCTGAACCGCTGTGGTTCATAACACACAACCACAGAACAGAACCAAAGAACAGTGTGGAGCTGGGCCTCTGCTGTTCAAAGTATTCCGGGGTTGTTTCTTCTAGTAGCCATGTTTTCCGAGATGCAAGTCCAAAATAGTTGTTTTGGGGTTTTCTGGGACTTGTGTCTTCCTGTATTGCCGTCCTCAGTTTCCTGCCTTCATTGAGCGACTGTACAGGTTGTTCCTCACAGGGACAGTGGAGCCCTTGCCTGGCGTAAAAGGCACTGGGCGCAGTCCTGGCTCTGTGGCTTGGGCCAGAGGTCATGACCAAGGTTGCTCCTTCCTGTGTAGGATGGGGACACTTAGTCGTGGTAGTGCTGACAATTCCCCTTTCAAGCCAGAGCGCCTAGGGAGTGCTTGTGTCCGTGTGCTGGGTGCAGGACGTGTGGGTTTGTGGTGCTTTTGGAGACACCATTTCTGGCATAGGGGTTAATGTTAATTTTCTTTCTCCTTCCTCAAAAAGTCTGCTGAGGCCTGTGCCTGGCAGAGAGAGCCCACCCTCCTCTGGGATGATGAGGGTGAGCTGCACTGGGGCTGTGATGGCTCTTTTCAGTGGCCTGCAGTCCTCAGGCTTGCTCCCAGCTCCCGCCTTGATGTTGAGGGCACCTCGGGAGACTTAGTGAGCTGTGTTCATTCCTCAACAGGAACCTGACCTTGGGATTAGGAGTCCTGTCTTCTCTCACCTTCTGGAGGATCAGCACACAGCTTAACGTTGCCCTGACCCCTGGGCAAGTCAGCAGTTATTAAGCTTTTTGAATTGGAGACCTCTCTGAAGGTGACCCCCCCTGACTGGGAGGATGAGCTGCTAAAGGTGGCTCTGATGTTTCATATAAAGGCTCAGAAAGGCCAGACAAAAATAGAGCAGCAGAGGAGACCTTTGCTATCTCAGGGAAATGGAGGGAAGCACCTGGCGCATGGGGTCTGAACCTGGAGAAGTTGGTTTAAGAATGGCACCTGAATGCTGGGGTACAGACCTGTTGTAGACACAGCTTAGCATGCACAAGGCCGTGTCCCATCCCTGGCACCAGAGAAGAGTATCTGCAAAGTAATAGGATTGGATTCTGCTTTTGATTTAGTTCTGATCGGTTTTGTAGCAAAGTGCTGAGGTTTTATTCTTTGCCCAACTTGTTGACTTCTTTGTAAAGAAAATTTGTGTGTAGTTTAGTGTCACAGGGATCCATATTTGAGTTTTACCTCAAGCTTTTGATTAGCTTCAAGTAGCCACATTATGCGTACAGCTAAAACTGTTGGAACCTCTGTGTTTTTTGTTTTGGAGTAATTGGGATTGAACCCTAGGGTGCTGTCCCACTGAGCTACCTCCCCAGTCCTCTTATATTTTGAGACAGGGTCAGGCTAAGTTTCCCAGCTGGACTGGAACTTACCATCCTCCTGCCTCAGCCTCCCAAGTAGCTGGTGTTACAGGCAAGGCCACCACACCTGACAAAACAACACATGCCGTAGAATGCTCATGAGTAGTTGTGGCTCCCAGAATCACCCTCACTCTGCTTGCTTTCCACATGACTTTAATTCCTTTGCCCATTAGTCATGCTTTACTTTTGCAGCATCCTGTGTTAATTCTGCAAGTACAGGTAGGGCAGCTTCTCCACACAGACCCCAAACTTTGCATGGTTGCCCAGAGCAAGAGAGCAGTTGTGAAAGGTTTGTGATGCTCCATGGTCTCTGCCATTGAGGTGCAGTTCTGCATCCTTTCTCATCTCCTTACTGTGGAGGTGGGTGCTAGGTAGAGACCTGCATTCCAGTGTTCGTACAGGCTGCTGCATTTGATGGTTTGTTTGTTTGGTTTTTTTTGTTGTTGTTGTTGTGTGGTTTTTAAATTATCTATATATATATATATATTTTTTTTTTTTTTTGGTACCAAGGATTGAACTTGGGGGCACTCTACCACTGAGTCACATCCCCAACCCTATTTTGAATTTATTTAGAGACAGGGTCTCACTGAATTGCTTAGCACCTCACCATTACTGAGGCTGGCTTTGAACTCACAATCTTCCTTCCTCAGCCTCCCGAGCCAGTGGGATTACAGGTATGCGTCACTGCATCCAGCTGATAGGGGTTTTGGATGAGAAATGTTTCGTGAATTTGGAAGGTCTAAAAGCTTTCTATTTATTTATATCCAGGCTTTCTCTTTGCCAGAATGGAACAGAAAATTGTATAGTAAATATTTTGTATCACTTTTGGCTCTTGAGAGATCTGCTCCTTGACTTACTGAGGGGAAGGCAGGCGGCAGCAGCTGTGAGAGGAGATGGGTCTGTCTGCACCTACAAGTGAGGAACCTGGTGGTCTTTGCAGTCTGAGCCATGAGTTCATGTCTTCACAGTTGGTATATTTGGGTTCTTTTTCTTATCAGTAGGTGTGTTTTGTCTCAAGCCAGTGTAACATGGAAGCACATATTGGAAGTCACCAGAGTTCCAGTTTCCATTCCATTCCATTTCTTTGTGGGATTTCTGTGGCCAGTGGGACTAATGGTTTGCTTCTGTTTTTTCTCCAGGCTTCTCGTCAGTGCCTCGCAGGACGGAAAGCTCATCATCTGGGATAGCTATACCACAAACAAGGTAGGCTGCTTAAGACCCTTCCCTGAAACACCCCCAGAGAGTGGTTTGTTCCTACCACCTCACCTGACATGGCTGGCAGGGGGCAGTCTCAGAAAGTCTTGTGTTCAATGGTGAGGTCCCATAGGAGAGATGAAACAGCTAGCTGCCTGTGTGTGTTTAGGGGGTGGGGCTCTTACACTCCTGCTTCTCCCGCCGAGAATTGGGAATTAACCCCGGGGGTGTTTTACCACTGAGCTGTGTCCCTAACCCTTTTTTAATTAATTTATTTATTTTGAGAGAGGGTCTCACTATGTTGCTTAGTCTGGCTTGGAATTTGCATTCTCCTGCCTCAGCCTTCTGAGTAACTGAGATTACAGGTATGCACCGCCATGCCTGGCTTTGTAGAATACAAAAATACAGATTTTCATTTAGTTACAGCTTTTTTTTTCTTACCCCCCCCCTTTTTTTTTTTTTTAGTTACAGCTTTTTACAAAGGATAATCTGAAAGGCATTTTACTTTGAATCATAAATTAAATTATTTTTAGAATTTAGCCAGACCTGGGAATGTAAGGCTCTGGTCTGTCCCCATCACCTGGGCATGAGACTGCATGCCCATAATTCCAGCTCCTTAGGGGCTGAGACAAGAGGGTCACCTGAGTCAGACTGAACCATCTAGTGAGCCCCCTTTTCAAAAAAGTTAGGGGAGGCTGGGGATAGAGCATCTGCCTAACATGTGGAAGGCTCTTGGTTCAATCCCTAGCATTGCCCAAAAGCAAACTTAAGAAAATCTATGTTGTCTGGTGTGGCTGGGGTCATGGCTCAGTGGTGGAGTGCTTGCCTACACATGGAGGCTCTGGGTTCAGTCCTCAGCACCACATACAAATATAAAGGTGAAGTGTCTTATCTACAACTAAAAATAATAATAATCTAATGCTTTAGAGAAAAAAGTACTATCATGAGCCCAAACAGATAATATAAACAATCTAATGTGATTATATTTTACTAAAGAATACTAAATGTGTATTAAAGATCACAGAAATTCTAGTAAGTGTATCTAAAACACAGGGAGGTTTATGTGACCAACTGATGATAACAGGAATTTGGTTGCTTCAGTAAAGATATTCTGTTTTTTAAATGAAACCTCAGCCATCTGGCAAGCTGATGAAATGCTGCCTTTTACCATCTCTGGATCAGGAGGCAGCACTGCTGTCGTTCAGATGCCTGCCTTGCTCTGAATCGTGCCTTCAGTGAACTCTGCGTTAGGTTGGCATCGCAGTGTGCAGCTCTGGGTTTCCAGGCATTTCTCTCTCAGTAGCTTGGGCTGAATGTTGAGAAGCAAAAGCTGAGTCATGCTGTCTTCTGAGACAGGGTCTCCCTGTGTTGCATAGGTGGGTCTTGAACTTGAAGCAGTCACCCCACTTCCACCTCCTGTGTGGCTGGGTCTGCAGGTGTGCACCACCAAACCTGGTGGAGGTCAGTGTTCTTGAGCTTGTTGTCTGTGTTTCTGCCTTTTAGGTCCACGCCATCCCTCTGCGCTCTTCCTGGGTCATGACCTGTGCTTACGCCCCTTCTGGGAACTACGTGGCCTGTGGTGGCCTGGACAACATTTGCTCCATTTACAACCTGAAAACTCGCGAAGGGAATGTGCGTGTGAGTCGTGAGCTGGCAGGACACACAGGTACACACTCATTAATAACCTTCAAAGGATGCAAGCTGCTTACTCAGGGTCCTCAGAGCGTGTTTTGATGCTCACCTCCTGGCAGTCATGAATAAGATGGGTTCAAATCAAAGTCACAGTAATGGCCAGAAGTCCTGGACATGAAAGCTAGGCCTGAAGTACCTGGACCAGTCAGGACCTGCGGGCTTGTCACTGTAACTGGACCTGTGGCGTCCCCACCTTCTCGTGTGCATCAGTGTAGCATAGCTGAGTCTTTTCCTGCAGTGTCTTCATCTTGAGCACCTTTCCGCAGGAGGCTCCTCATCTGAACAGGTGTGTTTGCTGCACAGGGGCTTTCCACACACAGACTGTCCTGCCAGCCTGGGTTCCCCTGGGATCCCAGCCCTCGTAACAAGGCTCAGCGTTTCAGAAAAAAGAAGGCCCCATCTCGTACTTCACTTCTATGGCTGTGTCCCCCACCCTCAGAACCCTGTCCCCCAGGGTACTCTTGGCAGCACATCATGGGCTCCCTGCCTCACGTGAAGCCAGGGAAATGATCCTCACCCGGGTGATCAACACTGCTCTTCACATCTGTTGGCAGTCTGGGAGTGAGTGGCTCAGGGCCAGGAAAGAGCATGTCCGTTGTCCTCTTTAAGATAGCCTTCCTTACTTCAGGTTGCTTTCTCCTTAATTTTCCAACTTCTTAGGTGGGCCCGTAGCCCACTGGTTTTAAACTTTGCTTTCATAAGCACTTTTTTAAATTTTTAAATTTTTTAATTCTAATTTGCTATATACGACAGCAGAATGCATTACAATTCATATTACACATATATACATATAGAGCACAATTTTTCATATCTCTGGTTGTATACAAAGTACATTTACACCATTACGGTCATAAGCACTTTTGAAGATACAGGTTGCCTGTAAGTCTGGCTTTAAATTTAAGTTGCATTCTGCAAATTTTGACCTACCATATTTAAATTATCATACCAGATGATATATTTCTAATGCTCTTGTGAATGTTTGGCTCACGGGGCATATATCTGAAGTTTTCGTGGTTAACTTGTTGATTTTGAATTATATGCCATTGTGTTCAGAAAGCAGTTCTTAAAACTGTGAGCCTGTGGTCTGTGAAGATGGCCACATTGTGTTAGGCAGTGTCCGTGTACGTGTTAATTAATTAGAGCAAGTTGTGACATGTCTACGTTTTCTGTTTCACTTGCATGAAGTACTGAGGAAGGGTGTTGATAGGATGTCCTTCCTTATCCCTCCCTTTCAGTCTGTCGAGTTTTACTTCCTGTGTTTTGTGCTCAGCTAGCTGGTACATCTGCATGTTTGTGTGGTGTCCTCTTGCCATGCCCCACATCCCTCATGGGACTGCCCCACATGGGGTTTCTTGTTAAGTCTCCTTTATCCAACCTCACATAGCCGGTCCACCCTTGTGCTCAAGGTTTACATGCCATATTTTTTCTTCTTTCCTTTCCCCTTTGTGTGTCTTTATTCATGGTCTCTTGGACACTGCGTGAGTTGGGCCATGGATCTTGTCCCTCCTCGGAAGGCCTCTACCTGTTAAACGGTTGTTACTTCATACCTGTTCTGCGTGCGTGGGCTCTTCACTTTATGGGGAGTCTCCGCTGTGAGAGTGTGTCGAGCGCACCGGACACACATCCTTGCCTTACGCACCCTTGTGATGGCAAGGCTGTCTCAGGGATGAGGCTCGCTGCTACTTCTGAGCATCCCCAGGGTACTATGCAGCACCTGGTCAGTGCTGGACAAGATTCCTAGTCAGATCCCAGCCCTGCCTGTGTGGTTGTTATCTCTGCTGCTAGGCCCTGCTCTGTTGCCCTCTGCCATGTTGTGCTTCTCCTGGACTTCTTTTTTGGGGGGTGGGGGGGGTTGGGTACTGGGATTGAACTCAGGGGCACTCACTCAACTACTGAGCCACATCCCCAGCCCTATTTTGTATTTTATTTAGATATGGAGTCTCGTTGAGTTGCTTAGTGCCTTGCTGTTGCTGCAGCTGGCTTTGAACTCACCATCCTCCTGCATCAGCATACCTCGCCACTAGGATTGTGGGTGTTCGCCACCGTGCCTGGCCAACTGGACTTTTTTAAAAGCCTGATTTAGCAGTTGGCTTTTTAGGCAAACATCTTTGTGGCATTTTTGGTGGTTTTCTAGGGTTTACAGATGCATGCATCATTTTTCACAGTCCAGGCAGTTAATGCTGTGCAAGTCCATATGAACATAGGGCCCACTGTCTGCCTCTCCTTGTGCATTGGGTCTTTGTAATCAGTATCACATCAACACGTGCCGTCACCCTTGCAATGCATTGTTACAGTTTTTGCCTTTAAACATTCTGAAGAAATAGCTTTAGGAATCTTGATAAATTAGAAAAAAATAACTAGCTTTTGAATGTGTCTTGTGTTGGAGATCCCTTTCCTCAGGGATCCCTTGCCCCCAGTGAAGCGGCAGATGGCACCAACCCTGTGCTGTGCTTTCCCAAGGCATCCAAACCTGTAGTGGTTTGACTTGTGTATTAGGCAGAGAAGGGACTGACAGTAGTAACGAATAGGAAAATTTATTTATTTATTTATTTATTTATTTTTTAAAGAGAGAGAGAATTTTAATATTTATTTTTAGTTATCGGCAGACACAATATCTTTGTTTGTATGTGGTGCTGAGGATCGAACCCGGGCCCCACGCATGCCAGGCGGGCGCGCTACCACTTGAGCCACATCCCCAGCCCCAGGAAAATTTTATTTTATTTTATTTTTATTTATTGGTTGTTGAAAACATTACAAAGCTCATGATATATCATCTTTCATACATTTGACTCAGTTGGGTTATGAACTCCCATTTTTACCCCAAATACAAATTGCAGAATCACATCAGTTACACACTCACATTTTTACATAATGGCATATTAGTGACTGTTGTATTCTGCTACCTTTCCTTTCCCCTACTATCCCCCCTCTGGGCTCAGCAGTGTCTCTCCCATCTGTGGTCTCCCTGCTGGCTCAGATGTGTCCGTGTCTCTGCGTGTCCAGTTGGTGTCTGTCGCCTCCAGCACACGGGCCGTCCCTTGGGTGGTTTCACGTCAGAACGGCAATGTCCCAGCAAGAGGGAAGCGCATCTCACCCAGCTGCATGAAAGCACGGTTGGCAAGCTTGTGAGCCACAGAGGGTGTCCAGGAAATGGACAGATGTATATTTATTATTGCAGGTTTAATTTTTATTTTTAGAATTTATATTTATTTCTGTTTTAAAGCGGTTTTAATTTTAGGCTTTAAAGTTTTACTTTTACTTTTTTTTTTTTTTTTTTAACAAGCCTATTTCATCTGGATCTTGAACCCAGTATAAGTAGCTGCCTTCACAGTCTTTGTCTGCTAATCCCAGCATGTGGTCTTCCAGGGTTGGTCTTTGTGGCTCTAGCCTGACTCCTCTTGCTCTAGTAGTGCACTGGCCATCTGGAGTAACCTCATTGCAGACTCTCGTTGCCCTCCGGGCTCCGGTGCTGACCTTTCCTTTGTGGACAGCAGTGCATTGGTGGGGTCTGCTCTCTACCAGTGTACATCAGGTGTCTGGTGTGGGCGCTGAGTGCATGGTCCAGGGCTCCCTCTGCATCTTTCTCTTTGGCACATCTAGAGACATCCCAGCCAGGCTGGCTGAGCCCATAGTGCTGTGCAGCAGTGTGAAGCCAGGAATCGGTTACAGTCAGCCTCTTGAGTGGGCTCTCGCTAGTCGAGGATGTCTTCCTATTTCCACTGAATTGAAGGGGACATGTGGTACCAGCCCAGGCTTCCACCGTCAGCCTGCCACCCAGGCTTCAGGGAGTGTGGCAGGACTGCAGAGACGGCAGTGCACAGGCGTCTGATTTTAAAATCAGGATACTCTGGAAGTGGTTGACCCAGTGAGTTCATAGTGGCTGGGACAGAGTGTCTAATATTTTAAATATATTGCAAAGAAAACAAACTTTGCAACTTCTGTTCTGATGAAAATAATTTGAAAAATAATCAGTTTCCTAAACACTCATTTCTGACAAGACTGTGTGGCCCACTTACACAGATGGTTCTCAGTCCTGGCCCCAGGGGCTAAAGAAGAGAGAATCCATCCATCCCTGTCCCAGCAGCCGCTTCTTTCTGAGACCTCTGGTACAAGCACAACACTCTGGCCCTCACACAGCCTTCCGTTTGAGATGGCCACGGGCATTTGAGCATTGTGGCAGAGGTCTGGCCAGATGCCTTCCTGATATGACCGAGCATTGTCCTCGGGCGTGGGGACCCATGACAAAGTTCAACTTCATTTTCTGGGCAGTTTTCTTCTCCAGAGAGAAGCTGAATGTCAGACATACCCATGGAAATGTGTGGGTCTTTCCTCATAGGCTCTAGTGAACTCAGACATAGAAGGACATTTGTACTGTCTCCATGAAATTCCCGGCGGGAGTCATGCCAGCCATCAGTTGCCACTGCCAGCAGCTCCGCTCCCTCTGGCTGCAGGCCAGCCCCCAGTGCTTCCCCTGGGCCTCCTGGGGCTCAGCTGGACCGCCTTTCCATTTTAGCAGCCTTGCTGCACCAGAAGGAAGCTGCCATGAGCCAGAATGGATCCCAGGTCCCCTGACAGTGTGAGAAACCTTGGAGCTGCACACCTTTTCTTCTGCCTCTGGTTGCTCACAGAAGGTCCCTCCAGTGGCCTCACTTGCCTTTTCTCTCGTTGGTGAAGCAGGTGTCCTGCACTCCTCACCTCTGTCTCCTGCCCCTTTATGCCGTCCAGCATGGCCCGGCTGGCTTTTCCTGCAGTTGTAGGTGGATGGTTCTTTGCTCCTGAGGACAGAGGCTCCTGGAGTTGTTGGCCCTTCTCCTGGAGGACCTTGCCAGTGGTCAGCACTGGCACCATTGCCCAGAATCTTCTTCAGCCTCCTCCTTGTGCGGGCTGCGAGGCTAAAGCTGCCAATGTGTATTCATTGTAGAACTTGAGGGAAAGAAGTTTGAATTATCTTTTATGGTTTTTACATAAAATCCTAACTAGAACCACAGTGTTGTCTTCAAGGGAGTCGAGGAGCATTCTGCTGTGCAGTGCTAAGCTGTCTCCGTTGTTGGACATTGTGGTTTCCCATCTTCTGCTCTCCACTGTGGACATGGAGCAGGGAGACTGTCCTTATAATTGGGCACTTGAGACTCATTACCTTAGGGGGCTGCTCTTGGCCACAGCAGCTACTCCGGGTAAATGAGTGTGTGTACCTATATTGCATTCTTTCCCCAGCCTGGTGACATCTGCTTTCGAGATGTCCCCTTGGTACGTCCTCAAGGACCCTCATTGGTAACCTGTCCTGTGCTCTAGTAGTGTACCTTTCCCTCTGCCTCTGCCCAACCTCACCCCAAGCCTGTCTCTGCAGCTAGTCGTCCCCAAGACATTCAGGATAATCCTGCCTTTACCACCCAGAGGACAGGGCCAGCGCGTGCCTCTCCACCCGATGGGCATGCACATAGGAACTCACCTTGCTTCAGTGGCTCTCCTTGCACTGAGAACTGCTTCTGCTATCTCTTCCTTTTCCTTCCTTCCTTCCTTCCTTCCTTTCTTTTCTTTTCTTTCTTTCTTTTTTTCGTACTAGGGATTGAACCCAGAGTGCTCTGCCACTGAGCCACACCCCCATCCCTTCTTATTTCTGTTTCATTTTGAGGCACCTCCTCACGAGTTGCTCAGGCTGGCCTGAACTTGCGACCTCCTGCTCAGCCCCCTGAGTGGTTCAGACCACTGGGAACTTCTAATGTGCACAGCTGGCTCTTCTGATACTCCCCGAACGGGTCTCGTTAACAGGGAGACTGGGACTCCGGAGAATCCACAAGAACCTTTAGTACTGTTGGCCTCTGAGTAGCCACCACACAGGTTGGGGCAGGCCTGTGTGACTTCAGAGCCTGTGATCTTATGTGTGTCTGGGCAGGGCAGGCCTCACAGGGCAGTTTGGGCCGTGTCCACTCACTGGGTTGCCCACTTCATGTTTGGTGGGCTCCTCTTTTGATGCTTGTGGAGCCCTAACAAGCCGCACGTTTGCTGGCTAAGTTAGAGTTTCTCCATTTCCTCCCTGAGCGAGGCAATATGTATAAAACATGTAAAAGATACAGTGTCTGCACAGTTAAATTGTATTCCTTCCGTATATGAAAGCTCACAGGCAGCGAGTTGTAACACTGTGAGCTGACAGCCCCCTCCTCACATGCCACAGAGACAGCTGGTGCGCACCCTGGAAACTCTGACTTATATTGTCCACCCCTGCTGTGCTTTAGGGTGTCTGGGCTCTAACAGTTTTGGGGACCTCAGGTGCCACTCAGGTCTTGGTGGCTCCTCCTGGTGAGCTGAGGCCTGTCAACTATCCGAAGACAGTCATCCAGCTCCTTGTGTCAGGGCTGCAGGGCTGGGGCTTATCATTTCATCTGTCCTGCGGGAAAGCACCGGCTTACGGGACTGCTCCTGGTCTGAGGTTGTGTTTCTCCTGCCCAGCCCAGTGAGGTCAGTGGGGTCTCCCCCTTTCTTCTGCCCTCTGTGCTCACACATGGGCCAGAGGAGAGCTGTGAGGCCGAGCAGCACCATCTGGGTGCACACCCAACAAGATGGGGTTTCTGGGAGGAAGGGCAGGAAGAGGACCAGGACAGCCACGGGAGCTGTGGGGGTGCGGCCACAGCTGGGCCCACCCGCCATGCCAGGCCACAGCTCCTATGTGGTCCCTAATGTCCCTGGGGTTTCTGGGAAGAATTTGACCACACATCTCTTCCTGTGGGCTAAACCCAAGAACATTTCCCCAGATCTTTCAATTTATTTTGAGACCGGGTCTCACGATGCTGCCCAAGCTGGCTTCTAACTTGCTGACCTCCCTGGTCTAGGCCTCCACGCTCAGCTTACGTGTCCTTTTCTAGACACGTACTGGTATTTTGGGGTCCATCACCTCTGTGTTTTTCCTGTGGGGCCAGATTAATGATGTCTGTGGAAAAGGTGCTTTGTTTTCCCATATTCCTGCCGCTTCCTCTTGAGCTCCTCAGTGGGCTGCTGTGTGTGTTGTTTCTGCTCTTCATGGGCCACGTGGCCCTCTGGCATGAACATGGAGGGAAAGAATTTCCATAACCACAGTATAAATGGGAATCTTCTCGAGACTCCCTAGTGCTTCCACGATCCCATGGAAAGGCCAGGCTCAGGCCTTTCTGCTTGCCATGCCCAGCCCTCAACCCCAGAGCTGTGGTAAATACGTGGCTCCATGGGTGCCACAGGAAACCGATGCTCAGCACAGTGGCAGTTAGCAGCGCCAATAGAGCCACAGGCATCAGGCCCAGCTGCAGCCTTGGTTTTGCCTCTCTTCTTTCCTCAGGCTGCATGGGGTAGGATGTGCTGCACCCAGCCCACATCCTGGTAGCCCCATGGCCTCACTTCCTTGGCAGGGACCGTTCCCACCCCAACTTGCACATCATGGCCACTGCCCTGGAAAGCCAGCCTATGCCCCTTGTTCACAGAGCCTCACCACTGGACTTCTCGGAGTCACTGCCATTGAGGCTGGGCTCCCCCACCACCACTGGTCCTTCTGGGGCCTACGAGCCCTGTCTGGCCTGGCCCTGTGGCGTGGACTCTGACTTCTCCCTCACATGATCTTTGCGTTAACCATCACTCTCCACCCACTCCAGTGAGCTCCACCAGAGCAAGCAGTATCCACTTCATGCAAGGCTGTGTTCCACTTTCCAGAACTGCCACACTGGACCCTGGACAATGGTGAAGGGCCAGTGAGGTCAGGAGGCAATACTTTGTTGAGCAGAAAAGCAGGTGAAGAATGCAGGTGCAGTAGTTGTGACCACACCTGTCATCCCAGCGACACAGGCAGAAGGGCTGCAAGCTCCAGGCCAGCCTGGCCCACTTAGCAGGACTCTGGGGTGGAGAGCTGGCCTCCTCACACCAGGCTCAGGTGTCTGGTAGGTGCGATTGCCCCACCACCTGCTGCAGAGCACGTGGTCTGTGAGGTGCTGCCCGCGGTCCTGGCGTCTCTTGCTCGAGCCTGCTCTCAGCTCTCTCAGCAGTGCGCACTCCGACACAGCTGCTTCTCTGTGCACAGATGGAACCAAAGGTAATATTTAGACTGCCCCGGCCTAGACGAGAGTCTTCCAGGCATATCTGATTGGCTACTGTGCCTTTCTTTGCTTATGGGATCTGAGCTTGCTAGGTGTGGGTCATCATTGTGTCTGCTCTTTGCCAGGTTACTTGTCCTGCTGCCGATTCTTGGATGACAATCAGATAGTCACCAGCTCCGGAGACACCACGTGGTAAGTACCAGACCAGCACTGGACACGGGACACACACCTGTTGTCCCAGAGACTCATGATGCAGGTTAGCAAGGCCCTGTCTCAAAACAAGAAATAAAAAGGGCTGAGCTATAGCTCAGTGGTAGAGTGCCTATGGGTTCAGTGCCCATCACTGAAGAATAAAGAAAATTGGCCACCTGGCCAGGGCTGGCAGTGTAGTCTGAGGCCACTCCTCTGTTCACTGGTAAGTCCCCATGTGCAGGAAGGATGGTTCTTGGCATTTATCAGGCCATTTTTAACTGGAACTAAGTACAGATGATTCCAGGCTGCAGTCATGCATGAAGGTGCCTGGTTTCTCTGTTTGCTCTGCGTGTCTCCCCCTGGCTACGTATATCTGTAGCTCTTAAGGAAGGGGCTCCTGAGCACAGCGTGAGAAAGCAGAGTTGGGCCGCGAGTGAACGGTGTCATCAGATGCTTCCTGAGAGTTGTTGTAGCTCCTCCTCGTCTTCTGGTCTTCAGAGGTATTTGTGGGTGGCCAGGAGCTGCTGTGACTAGCCAGTCTGTGGCACAGACAACCACCCCTGAGATGAGGTTGGCCCACATCTGGTGAGGAGGTGGAGTCTGTGGGACATGGCCCGCTCCGGCCCCTTCAGCTGGGGCTTTATAGGGTCAGAGTGTCCTAGGAGTGTAACCCCATAGATTTACAGGAGCTCATGTTCTACACTTGGTCAGATGGTTTTGAAGCTCACATCTGGTCACTTCCTTGAAGCTCCTGTGCTCCCTGTTTCCTTTGTGTCCCTCAAGCCTGGTGAGGGTGCCTCTGTACAGCATGTGGGACTTACTTCTAATGGACCTGCATGGCCAGGCCAGCAAGGCTCCCCTGGAGGCCGACATAGAGGGGCACTTTTCAGAGCTGTTGCTGCTTTCTGTGATCGTTGCTGGGGGCAGCAGTGGCTATGTCCTTGAGCCACCCCTGTGCAGTGGTGTGGGTGCCCCACCTTGAACAGCACCAGCACATGGAGTGCCAGCAGCAGCCATTGGGAGCCTCACTATCCTCCGCGAGCCCTACATGTCCCCACTTTGAAGAGCCTCAGCCCTGTGCTGGTGTGAACTGCCCTTGGGCCCAGGTGCTCTGGGACCAGCCCTGCCCCTGGGTTTGTTTGCTTTGCTATTTCTCCTCCAAACAAAGTCATATTACATTGGGTGCAGTGGTGTGCACCTGTAATCCCAGCACCTTGAGGGAGGAGGATTGCAGGTTCCAGGCCAGCCCCAGTGATTTAGGGAGACGCTGCTCCGTAGTGAACCACCCCTGGGTTCAATCCAGTGCCACTCACGTACAACAGTTCCCATTTGCCCTCTGTGAGAGCGCTGATGTTTCCTGTGGTCCTAGTGGGTGGAAGGTAGTATATCAGATGACCTATGGGCTGAGACGTAAGACTGACTTGTTTGTCCCTGCTTTAGTGCTCTGTGGGACATTGAGACCGGACAGCAGACGACCACATTTACTGGGCACACTGGAGATGTCATGAGCCTGTCTCTCGCTCCTGACACCAGACTGTTTGTCTCTGGTGCTTGTGATGCTTCGGCCAAGCTCTGGGATGTCCGGGAGGGGATGTGCAGGCAGACCTTCACAGGCCATGAGTCGGACATCAATGCCATCTGCGTGAGTCTGGGCTGCCTCTGGGCTGGGGCTTCTCTCTTTCTGTTGATAGGACTCTGGAACCCTGAGAAACACTGGCTGCAGTCTGATAGGAACTTGGAGGCCAGCTGATGGCACGCTGTGCCTTGCCAAACATCTGTGACAGGCCCGTCCCCACCCGGGACACCATGGTGCAGGTGCCACAACACACCTGACTTCAGTACAGGGTTTTGGGCCTCTGGCCTCCCAGGGTGGCTTGGAGGGACATGTCTGCTGGGCTGGGGAGGATCTCTGCTCTTTCTCCACACAGCCAGCTTTGGGCTGCCAGCTGCAGGGGAGCAGGAACCCCGTCCGTGGCAGCCGACCTCAGCTGTATCTTGCTGCCCCAGTCTTGCCAGAGCCCAACCTGCTGCACTTTCCTTACAGTCGTGTCTACAGTGGCCCCACTACTGAGCAGTCATGTTACCATGGTTTCTTCATGAGCATCTACGTATGGTCTTGATTTGCCTTCTCTTTCCAGTTCTTTCCAAACGGCAACGCGTTTGCCACTGGCTCAGATGACGCCACCTGCAGGCTGTTTGACCTCCGTGCAGACCAGGAGCTCATGACCTACTCCCATGACAACATCATATGCGGGATCACCTCTGTGTCCTTCTCCAAGAGCGGGCGCCTGCTGCTCGCCGGGTACGACGACTTCAACTGCAACGTCTGGGATGCGCTCAAAGCAGACAGGGCAGGTAGGTGGCCACGGGGCCCCTGCTGAGCATGCAGCCACGGGACCAGGGTCCGCTCCAGTGAGCGGACTCTCAGGGTACCTGCGCTCCCCCTGTGAGAGGAGTGCACTCGGGTGGCAGGCAGGAGAGCCACACCCAGATGGAACATGGCAGTGGGCCTGGTGAGTGCCCGTGACAGTGTGTTACTGGTCTGCACTCTGTGTGTCCCTGTCAAGGGTGCTAAAGGGCTTTCTTATTAAGTGGACACATGGCCGTTAACCTGAAGGAGGCTGACCTTGGGAATCCTCCAGCAAGTCTGAGTCTGGAAGTCAGGAAGCTTGACTCCAGGACTGTTTGCTCTTGTGCTCAGCTGGACTCCACATTCTTCAGCCCTTCTGGGAGAGCAAGGGGGATCCTGGTGGGTGGGCGGGAGTGTCACAGCACTGTGAGGGAGGGTCAGTTACGTCCATAGCCTATGCGGTCAGCTGCTCTGAGAAGGTTTTGATTCTTTTGCCTGTTTCCCCCCCACACACACACACTCCTTTGATGATTTAAGCTTCTCAGGTGAGTGTGCCAGAGTCGGTCCGAGTGGCCCCGGGTTTGTCCAGGTGGTTCCTCCTCATCCTCTGGAGAATGCTTGTGGAAACACTAGTCTTAGCCACTCCCCTTTAATAAGCTTGGACTTGGCCACACCCTTTGGTGTAATTTCCTTGTGGACAAAACTTGCCCCCCTCGCCGGGCACAGTGGCACACACTGTAATCCCAGTGGCTTGCGAAGCTGAGACAGGAGGATCCCGAGTTCAAAGCCAGCCTCAGCTAAGTGAGGCACTAAGCAACTCAGTGAGAACCTGTCTCTAAATAAAATACAAAATAGGGCTGGGGTGTGTGGCTCAGTGGTCGAGTGCCCCCGAGTTCAATCCCCAGTACCAAAAAAAGAACAAAAACAAAAAGCTTTCCCCCTTGCTGGTGTTCTTCCCTTGCCACCTGAGTTGTGGCCATCCAGCACTTGTCCCAGCCTGATAGTGGGCGAGGCACCCCTGGATGTGTGTGTGATTGTACCCTTGTGTTCCCAGGTGTCTTAGCTGGACATGACAACCGCGTCAGCTGCCTGGGGGTGACTGATGATGGCATGGCCGTGGCGACAGGGTCCTGGGACAGCTTCCTCAAAATCTGGAACTAACACCAGTAGGTAACGGAGCAGCCCACGTGCCGTTCCCCGAGTAGAGCTATATGTGTTTCTCTTAGGACCTGAGGTAGTTGCTGCGTGGCTTGTAGAGTAACGTGGACGTGGTGTGCTCTTGGAGCCTAGTAGATCGAAGGGATGGCCCCTTGGCCATGGCTGCTGCAGGAGCAGTAGAGAGGGCAGTGGCACTGCTTGTCGGGCTGAGTCCTGAGTGCCCGTGTCTGTACGTTGACCCATGCTCTGTTCACAGCAGCAGGTGGACGCCACGGAGACTGGAAGACCATTCCGACCTTGAAGCGCTGCAGTGATAGCATATCCTATCCAACCGTACTAACGTGGACACCCACACCTCCCCTCAGAACTTCAAAGGGCAAGATCTTTTTCCTTCACCTATTGCTGAAACCAAGAGCACAATTCCCATTACGAGAAGGTCTCTGTGCTGTAAACTAAAACAAATTGTGCATTCCTTCCGGGGCCATTGTCTTTGTTTTCTTTTTGTCTTGGATAAATTTTAAAAGGAAATACTACAATAAACATGTTAACCAGAAGGCCACCCTGAGTGTAATTGTGAGACAGACGCCTCTGCACTAGCAGGTGGAACTGTAGACCAGGGTCCTGTTCTGTGGCACCCATGCAGAGCCATTTGAGGACTCTGTTGAGCTTGTGATTGTTTCTGAATTTCGAGTCAGGTCCATAGCAGGGTTCTGGACGCTTTCGCACTTCCTTTTTCAGACATACTTCTCTGTGTTCAGAAGTCAAGCAAGACGGGTGTCTGGGGCAGGCCTCTGATACTGCCGGTGAGCTGGCTCGTTCTCTTCTGGTCCCAGATGGCTGTGGACGAGGAGTGCTGAGAAGCAAGAGCGCAGTCAGAGTCCTGCTCCAGCTCCCTCCTAGCCCGTCCTCCTGGCCAGCTCTGCCCAGCTGTCTCCACTCTCACCTTGGGTTTCCTGTGAAGGGACGTTTGTATTCCCCTAACACTACCCTGCCCCGCCCCGCGTCAGGAACCTGTTCTCAAGAGAGATGCCTGTCCTGTGCTTGGATAGTCAGTCGGTTATTTGTGTATGAAACAATGTACAAATCAATGTTTTGAAAATAATGATCTCAGACTTTCTAAGTTGAATTTTAAACACTTTGATTGTTTGCCATGTTGGGTGGTTTACTCTTAGAATCGCATGCTGTAGAAATGCTCACTGCACATAGGACTCAGTCCTTAGGTGTTCTTTTCTTTTAAGAAATACCCTCTTAAAGCTGTAACCGTGGCGGCTGTCCACTTCCTGTCGCTACTCTGCACACATATCGGAAGCAGCAAGCGCTCTACACGTCTGAGTAGCGGGATAAGTCACTGTTTTCTTTACTTCTTTAAAAAAAAAATACAGTCCTGTTGCAAACGATTGCTGTTGGATTCTGAGGGAAGGGGTGGGGGGAGCGACAGAGAGCCCTCCTGCCTCCTTGCGCCAGGACCGCCTTCTGCACCCGAGGCAGACCTCCAACTCTCATCTCGAGGGCCCCTCCTCCCTCGCCCAGTGCTCCTCCTAGCTGCAGTAGAGGCTTCGCCATCCTGTCTTCTGCACCACCTGTGCAAAACTGTGCTGTGGCCTGCAGAGGGCCTGGGCCTGGCAGAGAGCACAGTGGCCCTCCTGCTCTCCACCTGCACCTCTGTAGAGCTCTCTTCACCCCCTTCTCCCCTTCTGTATTTAAAGTCGGTGTACTGCAAGGAGGCTGGATGCAAGGTAGATGCTATGTTGAACTGTACTGTTATTTAAGATGTAATAAAGCAGTTTGACATGAGGGACTTTGCTGTGCTGGTTGTTTGCGGGATTTTAGTGTATGGGATGGCTGCCCGCCCTTGGTTGCCCCTGCTGCTGTGAGGCCTGATAGGCATGGTCCCCCCTGTGTCAGAACACTGGCCCCTCTGAAGTTCCTGGGAAGCCCCAGTCTCAGGCCTGCAGAACAGCATGGTCCCCCTGCTACCACCCGGGCCATCCTGGGTGGTGTCTCCCCAGGTCCCTACCCTGCCATCCCCTCCTTGGAAGCTGACAACCCTGACTTCTATTTTGTAGTCCCCTAAGGTGCCTGAGGCCATGCTGCCCCAGAGACACCCTTTCCTCTTAGCTAGGTGGCATTTTCATCTGTCGGAGTGACCGAGCTGCCCAGGAGCATGGGAAAGGAGGGCTAGGCTTCGTGTGGCTCAGCGCCCCCCGCCTCCTGCGCTCACCCCAGTCCTTTCGGGGCCTCCCGGTTGCAGAGCCTAGAGGTGACTGCCAACCTTCACAGCTTGGATGCTGGCACTTTTTCATATGCAAGTGGAGAATGTCCCTTTTCTGCCTCCTACCCAACAGCAGAGAGGCTGGTCCTAGGACTGCGTGGCCAGGCCCACTTTGCTGGATGCAGGTATCTGTCCCCCTCAGGAGCAGCTCTTGGGATGGACCTGGTAAGGTGCTATTTCAGGCCTCCAAAGTGGAAGTGACTGGTGGGCTAAGCCTGTAGGTTTCCTGGGCTGGAGGGTGGAGTCCACGGGGGCTGGTCACTTCACCTACTCTGTGCTTCTCTTTGGGAGTTCCTGTATCCTGGGGGGGTCCAAGCCTGGCACCTGGCAAGCAGACCTGAGCTGACAGGTGGGATCAGACCCCTTGCCCCTTTCCCTTACCCTCTGCCCAGAGGGGACAGGAGCTGATGGCCACTGTTCCGTTTACTTAGCAATGTCACTGAAACAGGTGTCCATTGTGGGCATGTGGACAGCAGTACTGACCAGGGTTGTGAAAAGGGAAGGATCGTTCTCTCCCAACTGGGGATGAACCACAGGCGTTTTCAGATGGTAGGCTCCAAAGGTCCAGTTTGCACAGATGGTGTCCACCATTGACTGGGACAGGAGCAGCATCACCACCTGCAGCCCTGAGGGGTGACCAGGAGGTACCAGTCCTTCCACATCACTCCCCACAGTCTGCCCTGTAGCCCCTGCTCTTCCCATGTGCACTGGCCCTGGCCCTGCCCTTGGAGGGTGGCATACCTGTCACAGGTAGAAACAATTAAGGGGGCCTCTTGGGCTCTGCTCCCGGATGGTCCTGTCTCCAGCACTAACTGCATGTGTCCTCTATGTCCTGTGTTACTAGGTTTCTGTACTGCCCCACATACAGCAGAACTTGGCCATCAGCAGGGACCCCAGAAAGCAGGGCCCTGCCTGTGGCCTATTTGGTCACAGAGATACATCTGGGGCTCAGGGCAGCTGCCACAGACTCCGTCAGCACCACCCCTGGTCATCTGGGTGGCCTGGGTGCAGGGACAGGGACCTGAGGCTAGGAGGGGGCTTCCCTAGCTCCACCGGGTCCCCACCAACCGGCTCATCCCTCTGTTCCGCAGCCTCCCAGTCTCACCGCTGTCCCAGTACCCACTCCACCACCCTGGGCTCATGCCACTAGGAATTCCTACACCTGCTATTCCCCCTACCTAAGGGACACCTGTCCATTAGTACTCCTGGGCAAAACTGAGCCCATGCTCTGTGACCCCCCCTCCATCTGCCTGTCCCACCTCTCTTCTCTGCTGTGGCATGATGTGTCTGGCACGTGGCATTTAGAAAGCCGGTTGCCCCCACCAGCCCAGGCAGGAGACTGACGCCTAGGGAGGACAGAGTCAGCGGTGGATGGGATGGCCCCCTTCTCTGTTCCCAAGCCAGAGAATGCTGAGACTAGCCTGTGCCAGGTGCACTGGCTGGAAACCAGAGGCTGAGGTTCAGACAAGATGACCTTGGAATAGTCAGGGCCCTCACCTGCTGCCCACCTGTCCCTCCGGCTGCTACTTTCCCTTTTGGATGCTGGTCAGCCTCTGCTCACCCTGTTCACCCCATGCAGCCAGGCCACCTGAAGCCAACTTCCTGCCCAGAGCTGAACAACGCCCAAAAGTGCAGCCTGCACCAAGCACTCCACCCTGGCTCCTAGGAGCAAGGGGCGCACCCCCAGCGACAGCCCTTTTCTGGGTGCAGGCCACTGTGCTTCTCCCTCTGCTTCTCAAACCTGCTGGCCTCCTCATTTAACCTGCAGAAGAGGTGGGGACCACATTAGGGGGTCTGAAGCGTAAACAACATGGGGGCCATTTTTAAGAGAAAGAATACCAAACAACAAATTAACAAAATTATTACACTAACAGCTAACTTAGCAGCTCTGGGGCCTGAAAAAGGGCAAGGTTACCATCCCTGCTGCCACCCCTTCCTGGACCGGCCCCTCCTTTTTATATGACCAGTTTCCTCACCCAACTCCAGCCCTATGGACTTTGACCTCCTTCCAGCCCTGGGCCCTCCCCTCCCTTTTTGGACTCTCCCAAGTGAAATGCTTCTGGGTGCTTTCAGGGCCCCTGCCACCCTTGGCCTTGTTGGAGCAGGCTTGTCCTGGGCCAGTGTGAGACTTTGGCCCCTGAACCCCCTGCCCTGTGAAGCTGCATGTTTAAGGTCACCAAAGGGAGCCACAACCTGCTTCCTCCTGTAAAATGGGGAAGCCACTTGCACAGGCTGCTGGGCCAGGGTAGACAAGGGGTTCCCCTGGCCACCCACTGTGCACCTGTCAGTTCCCTTTAGAGGGATCACACGAGAAGGATGTGAGCTGGGTGGCTCTGCAGGTGATTGCTCCCACTCTAGAAGTTTCTCGAAGCCTAGGCCAGTGCCTGGCATCTATCACTCAATGTCGATCTAACACTATAATGCCAATAATTTCTTGAGCTGGAAACAGCTCAAGCCTGCTGTGGGTGTGGCTGGCAGTCACTTTGGGGAAGCTGCCGAGTTTACAAAATAACCCATGAGGAAGTTACAGAGCTTAAGAAATCCCCCCGAAATTCCCACCATGCTCGCCCCCTTCCCAGTCACCCTTGGGGCCTCCACAGTGCAGTGGTCCATGTACAGCAGTGTCATTCTTCCCAGGAAGACACAAGACGGATCCTGGGAGTCCCCCAACAGAGAGCAGGCTGACAGTAGCAGGTATGGGGTAGTGGGGAGACCCATAAAGCTGCTGAGAGGATTCAAGTTCACAGGGGACCAGGCCAGGGGTGCCATGTCAGGGAGCCCCACCATGGGGAAGGAATGACCATGTGAAAACCCAGGCTGGTGCTTGGGAGGCCAGCCTGGTCCAAAGCACCCCGTGGTGCCCTTCTCTGGTCAGTCTCCCACCAGGACCCAGAAGCCCAGGACAGCACCTGGCACATTGCTGAGACATCTGCGGCCAGGGAGGCAGTACAAATGGATGACACAGTTCAGCAAACCCCTGCACTGGGGGCCACAGCTCTGCCTGAAGCTCAGGTCAGCTCTGGTGGCCTTGGCCTCTTACTCGTCCCCTGCCTCCAGGCTGTGGGCTGTGGCACAGCGCTGTTCCGGGGACTTCCAGACCCCCCACATGGAGGCGCATCGGGCAGCTTGCTGGTGGCCAAGGGACAGGAATGCAGGTGCGAGGGTCAGGGCCACCTCTCAGCGCGCCTGGCGGCCCTGGGGGAGCACAGCGCTAACAGGCTCCTTCGCAAGTTCTGGTTCCCGCAGTGGGCCTGGTCCACGTCGTGTCGCTCGAGTCATCAAGGACTCTGGCGGCGGACTGGACACCTCTCTCGCGGCCCCCTTACCAGAGGCCAGCCCACTGGGTTCGCTCGCCCTGGCCATGCGGTCCGCCAGGCCTCGCCCGCCCCGAGGGGCGCGGTGGGGCAGGGGGTAAGGGTCAGGCTGCCGTGGAGGAGGCCGAGACGCCGAGGCCAGTGAGGACAGGAGTCGGCCCCCGCGGCCCCCCTCCCCTCGGCCCCCCTCCCCTCGGCCGCGCGCAGGGCGGGAGCTCCGGGTCGGCGGCGTGCGCGTGAGCGGCGGCGTGCGCGTGCGCGGCGGCCGCGCCTGCGCACTGAGAGGAGGTGCAGTGCTGCTCGGCGGCGCCGGCGCCGGTCCGTGCGACCATGGGGCGGCGGGCGGCGGGGACGCCGAGGGCCAGGTAGCGGCGGGGCGGCGGGGCCCGCGGGCTCGGCCCGGCATGTAGACGCCCCGCGGGTGCGCGGCAGCGGACGGTGAGTGCGCGGGAGCCCCGCCGAGGCCGCGCGGGTGTCCGGGCTCGGGGCGCCGGCCCTGCCCACCTGCCCGCCGTGGCCGCCGCAGGCGCTGGCCCTCCGCCCTGCGTTCGAGCGCGGCGCGGCTCGGGTTCGTGGCGGGAACTGGCAGGGGCCACCGGCGGGGCCGCGGCCGGGGCTCGGGCCTGGGAGATGGCGTGGAGGGTCTGGGGTCGGGGACATCCTCGGGAGGCCGCTGGCCATCCTCGCGCCCTGGGTTGCTGGAGCCTGGACCTGGAGGCTCGATGGGCGGCGGCGCCGACCTGGTCCTGCGGGGCGTCGCTGGGGGCCGAGGGGCTTTAGCGTGTGACCGCGCAGGGGACCCGGACCTGGAGGAAGGCGGTGAGCCGAGGACCCTGGGGCAGTGCTGTCTGGACTTCGCCAAAGTCACGTGTAACTTGGTACCCAGTCCTCGTCAGAAAACTCGAAAGTTCCCAAAGTCCGGGTGATGTTCCCACAGGCAGCGGCCACGCGCGGCCCAGGTCAGCAGCGCAGCCGCCGGCCGTGCGGTCCTTTCTGCTGCCCGGTCCGGCTCGCTCCCCGGTACCGCGGGTGGATGCGGGCGCTTGCCACTCACCTACCACCCCAGCCCTCTTCTTTTTTGACACAGGGACTCACTAAGTTGCCTAGGCTGGCCTCAAACGTGGGTCTTACGCCTCCGCCTCCCGAGCCCGCGGGAGTCCGGGGATTGCAGCCCACCGCGCGGCCCCCTTTTCTCTCAGTTGTGGAACAGGGCGTCCCCGGCACAGCTGATGGCAGTCTCCTCCCTTGACCACGGACCTGCCTTCCCTTCCCTTCCCTTCCCTTCTCCATAGCAATGGGATTCCTTTGACTTTGATTCTGGATTACAAGTTATTTTTCCTTTCTTGTTTTGGAACACTCTCCATTTTAGCTGAAAACTTACTCATTCTGCTTGGCCTTGAGGGCAGTGCTTTCCAGGCTGTCTTCATTGGTGCTTGTGCTCGCATGCTTACCTTGGTGTTATTCTAGCGCCTTCCTGGATGACATGCTTCCTGCTCCAGGGTCTCCTCTTTCCCCTAGCCCTGAGCCCCTGGAGACTCTCCTGGGTGTGGGGAGTCTGCCCTCAGCAGTCACTTCTTCACTGAGTTTGTCGCCCTTCCTGTGGCTCAACAGGTGTCCTTGTACAGCCTGATACAGGAGCATTATTGCAAAGTGGCCCCTTTACATGTTTCTGGTATTTCTTCTTCATGAGTTTGTGCTGCTAAAGCAATTGGCAGTCCTGTTGTTTACATGAGGTTTGTTTATGGTGCCCAGAATGGCCTTGAACTTGGGGTCCTTCTGCCTCTATCTCCTCCCAAGTCTGGGTCACAGGCATGTGCCCCTGTGCCCAGCCAGATGGTTTGCTTAAGGATGCGGATGGCCTCAATCTTGATGACCTCAGATCTGTAGATGGGAGAGTTCAGCAGCAGAAAGCAGCTTTTCAGAGGCCTCACACCTTTGGGAGGGACCTTGAGGTGACAGGAGGACATGATTGTGACCATAGGGCCTCCTCCATCAGCCCCACTTTCCACCTCCACCTAGTGGTAGTTACCACTGCATCTGGCCTTTCTGGACCGGAAGGTGTCACTTTGCAACTTCAGGACTCAATGTCCTGTTTGTACTGGTGACTTATCATCTGCAGCATCTCCTGACCCATCACTGTGGGCCCCGGGCCGCTGCATGGGAACAGGTAAATTAATAAAAGTAAAGAGTTTTGGTCCTTTGGACAGATGGTAACAATGGAGAAGGTGCAGGCAGGGAGAGGGTGCCACACACACTGAGTAGGGGCATCACCTGGCTTCCCATTGGGAAGTGCTGGTCTCAGGTTTTCCTGGGTGCCCAAGGACGCAGCAGAGCCACCTTTCTAGAAAGCTGCCTTCCAGTTGTGGTCTTAGCTTGCGGGGTGCAGGCTGGGCCCACTGGCCTTGTTCCCATGGGCAGTGTGGTGCACGTCCACCGTGTCTCATCTCTGCCAGCCCGGCCTTGTTGCTGGGGGAGTTAATGTTCCTGAGGAGCCTCTCCCCATCTCTGTCTCTGGACGAGTTCTCTCACATCTGCTAGCTCAACACTTGCCTGCCCCCCAGCACTCTTGTGCTCTAGTCGATGGGTGCAGCTTTTGTTCCTGTCTATTGAACCCGTGTTTATTGGCATCTTGGTGTTTTTCCTCACCATTTCGTATTGAATTGTTTTGTTTTGTCTGCAGTGCTCTACCACTGAGCCACATCCCCGGCCCTTTTTTAATTTTATTTTGAGACAGGGTCTTGCTAAGTTGCCTAGTGCTTTGCTAAGTGGCTGAGGCTGGCTTTGAACTTACAGTCTCCTGCCTCAGTCACCCAAGCCTCTGGGATTACAGGTATGTGTCATCATGCTTAGCGCCGTTTTTATTTTTTATTTTGAGACAGGGTCTTGCTAAATTACTGAGGCTGGCCTTGAACTTGCCATCCTCCTACCTCAGCCTCCTGAGTTGCTAAGATTACAGGCTTGTGCCACAGTGTCTCAGTGCCTGGCTGTACGAGTTCTTCATATTTTTTTAGATGTTGATGGACCTTTATTTTATTCATTTATTTATATGCGGTGCTGAGAATTGAACCCAGGTCCTCACACATGCTAGACAAGTACTCTTACCACTGAGCCACAACTGTAGCCCCAAGTTCTTTATTTAAAAAATTTTTCCCTAATTTTATTGATGCATTGTGATTATATGTAATAGGGGATCCCTTGTTACATATTGTACATGTACATGGTATAACGGTATGTATGCATTCTTTATGAATACTTCATTATTATGCTTCAATTTTTTTCCCAGTGAAACTTCCTAACGCAGAAGTCACGTTTAGATTTGTGTGCTTTGAGGAATCAGAGCACACTTGGATGGAGTCAGAATCATGTTCTTTAGAAATGGTTAACAGTGGCAGAGTGCCTCCCTGGCATGTATAAGACCCTGGGTTCCATCCCCAGCACCATCAAAAGAAAAAAAAAAAAAAAAGGTTAGCATGCTAACAAACTTGAGTTAAATGTGAATCTTAATTCACAGTTGTCAAAAAATACACTGTAGAGATGACTTAAAATTTTAAAGCTAGTTTTAATATTTAATATGAGTATGAGTTAGTTGACTGCTTGGTCATCAAACTGGTCTTTGCAAGTAAATATTACAGAGCTTCCTGTAATAAGATGAGCAGCCGGGCCTTGCTGGTTTTTCCTCTTGGTCTGTTAGCATTGGATCAGAACCTTTTGCCCACGCACAGTGCTGCACCATGCCCATGCAGTGCAGTCTCCATGAAACCGGAGGGCAGGGTCCAGAGAGCTCGGGAGGGTCCTGCAGGGCAGTGCTGGGTCGGCGGGAGGCTCTGCGCCCCTTCCCCACGCCCCACCTGTGCGTGTCTTCATCTGCGTCCTTGGTGATATCCTGTATAATAAACCAGTGGCTGTTTCCCTGAGCTCTGTGATCCGTCTGAACGGGGAGGGGACTGGCTGGAGGCCTGTCAGTCAGAGGCACAGGCTGCTGCGTGGTTGCTTCTCCTTCTCCTGGAGTGATGGAATTCTCCATACCCTTCCTGGGGCACAGCCAGACTCGGGGTGCAGGTTCAGAGCTGGGCACCCCAGGTGATTCAGCTGTGCGGCCACATGGGGGCGTTTCTGTGGGTGGGCCTCCTGTGTGGTGTGCTCCCCAGCTGTGGTCCAGAGTTTGGTTTGGCCAGAGCTTGGGATTTATGGCCTGAAATCGCCCTGCGTAAACCCCACACTGCTGGAGACGAGGTGGTTGTGGCACTCTCTTGGTTTAGAAGGAAGTGCACCAGAGGCACAGTTTTGACTCTGTGTGGCCATTTCCCCCAGGACCTTTGGCTGGCTCTAGCCCTGTGCCCCTCTGTTGGGTGTCCCTTCTGTGCTGGGTCCTGTTGTCCA